CTTAGCCAGATATTTTAACTAGTATTTTAACAAGTTGGGTGAACATGAGACTTAGTAATAAAAAAAACTTCAGCATCAATTTTTTTTTTTTTAACCCAAATGATTTGTATTGTTTATAGCCTGTCAGGTCCTAATATTTGTAATCAGCATTACATATTTTAATTTTCAATCTTCTTTTTTAAAGCTGTATTTAACTAAAGTGTTAATACAACATTTGATCTCTAATTTAAAGAGGTAACTGTTTATTGCCCATGCATTTTAAAATAAAAATTGTTCTAGCTGAGAAAATTAGAAGGCACAGAGTCATGCAGTTATTACCATAAGAAGAAAATGTAATCAGTCATATATAATATCTGATTCCCATGCAGCACTTCAGATCTCAAAAGCTTTATAGCCACAGGTAGTGATGTTATCACCCATTCTACAGATGATGAAATTGATGTTAGAGCAATATTATTTGGTTAAAGTATAAATAGTAACTTTCTGAGTCTTAACATTTGAGCCATTTAATCTTCTTTTTCTCCAAAAACTGAAAATCCTTAGTTGAACTAAGCACTGATAAGGTTTTGATAGGAAAAGCGAAGTGTGGGCAGTGAAACAAGAAGCTGACTGTTCACCTCTAAATTCCAGATTTTTGCATAGAATGTCTGGGCTAGTATTGAAACAGCCATGTGGCTACCTCATTTCAGAACGACTCTAACACATCTTTTTATTTTTAAGTGCTATTTCCCAAAAGTATATATATATCTGTCTGTAAGTCTAGTGTGAATTGAGGCTCTTAAGGATAAAAAGAAATTGTACCCAAACACTTAGCCAAAACTTGATTTACATCATTTTTGCTGAAGATTTAGTACATCAGCCAACCAATACTATGCATTGTACCACTAAACTTGCATATGTTAGGAGAAATACTTTATTTTTAAAAACTGATAAAATTTCATAAAAATTTATTCATAAAACAATATACTAAAATATTATCTTCATACTTAATTTTATCAGTTCCTTCATCTGTAAATAAAATAAGCTTTTTGTATATGCCCATAATATATTTAGAAAATGATCATCAACGTGTACAAGTATCTGAAGGGGGGGGAATCAAGAGGATGAGGCCAGTCTCTTCCCAGTGGTGCCCAGCAACAGGACGAGAGGCAACGGGCAGAAACTGAACCACAGGAAGTTCCATCCGAACCTGAGAAAAAACTTCTTCACTGTGAGGGTGACAGAGCACTGGCACAGGTTGCCCAGAGAGGTGGTGGAGTCTCCTTCGCTGGAGATATTCAAAAGGCATCTGGATGTGATCCTGGGCAATATGCTCTAGAGGACCCTGCTTGAGCAGGGAGGTTGGACTGGATGATCTCCAGAGGTCCCTTCCAACCTCAACCATTCTGTGATCTAATGGAGTAATATATACAAACCTTTCTTTTTGGTTAAGTAATTTGAAGTGCTATCCATAGTCCTACTTTGAAAAAGCATTTTAAATTTGCCATAGGAAGGTGTATCAGTTCCTCAAAATCTCAAAATTCTTACCTTGAATGTTTGGATAAAGAGCCATAAATAACACTGCCCATCTTAAAACATTTGTTGTGGTTTCTGTCCCAGCTATGATGAGTTCTCCAACAGAGAAAATTAAGTTTTCTGTTGAATATGTAGATTCTGGATCATTTTCAGTGCAATCCATCTCATCCAAATATGCATCTACAAAATGTCGAGGTGATCGAGGCTTCCTGTTTTCAGAGACACGTTCAATAAGCTCATGAAGGAAGTCATAGACTTCTGCTGCATTTTTAAACAGCTGCTGATGTTTCCCAAATGGCAAGATACCAATCCAAGGAAAAGCATTATATAAAAATACAGAAGCACTAGCAGCTAATTCAACATTTTCACTAAAAATCTCAATCATGTGCTGAAATTCAGTATCTTCATATGTAAAACGTTCTCCAAAAATAATCAAGTTAGTAATATTTGAAACGGCATTTGTGATCAAATGCTTGAGATCAAATGGTTTGCCTTTGTATGTATCAATGGCTTCAAGAAAAAACATAGATTCTTCTGAAATTTTGTGTTCAAAGGACCTTTGACCATATCCAAAAATTCGGAAGGTATTTACGGCTAATTTGCGATGTTCTGTCCATCCTCTGCCATATTTACTGTTCAGTAAGCCTGAAAAAATATTTTGACACAGTATTTTATGCAACTCTGTTTTTTCCCCATGAGATAATAAAACTATTTAAAGTATCAGCGCACTCTAAAGGTAAATTATAAATTACAAATGATAGCATGATGACTGGAAGTGCCACTAAGTGGTTGATGATATCATCTCTTTTCTCAAAGCTGAATTAGGTTTACCTATGCTACTCCTGACATACATTTGCCTAACCTGCCCTAGTAGGGTAACAGATTTCACACCTTCGTGTGAAGGTACTTTTTGTACCTGCAATTTGGACTCATTTCGTATATATGAAAATTGGATCCACGATGGAACAGTCACTAAGGATACTTCCACACAGCAACATGCAGCATGACTCTAACATCAACAGATACATCCAACAGTACTGTGATATCCATGAAGAAATGAAAGCATTTTAGCAATCAAACCTCAAGCCTTCCTAGGACACGAAGTGTGTACTGTGGCTGTTAACATGTGGTGAAGCCCATGCTTCCCTATCTTCACTGTTCTTACTCAGCTATTACTCAAAGTAATACATCTGATAAACGCAAGTTAAGAAAGGAAATCTTTCTGTAATATAAAGTGACCTTTCCTGTTGAACTTTAATTCAGACACCGAACGACTTCAAAGCGGTCTCTGTCCGCTTTGTAAAGGTCACACGGCATCTCAACATCCCGATTAGGTACAAAAAGTGCCAAGACCCCTAAGGAACTGGCATTGCCAGTCTACCTTTAACAAATGCGTTTTAAGTTAATGCGGCTCCTGAATGTAACCGGTAAGAGTTAGTCTAGGTTAAAAGTAGTTAAATTAATTAAGCACTTAAGGAAGAGTAAATAAATGAATATTGAACATATGAAGGAAAGCTCTGTTGCACCTGTCTCAGGTTTGGAACGCGTATTGTAACTTTTGGGTTTTAGGTGAAAGCCTTATAGTGCAAAGTAAAATGAGTAGTGTAACAGAGATGCTACACTGCCAAGCATAAAAGGGAGAAAACAAAGAGCAAAGAGAACTAAATCACCGAGGAGAAATACTGAACTATGGAACCACAGAAGTTAGGTTTGAGCTGTAAGCTCAAAAACTCCTGAAATTCCTCATCCAAACGATTTTGGATGTTAAAGGCCATCTAATACAGATGTCTTTAATGAGAAGGCTACAGAAAGCAACTTTGGCAACTCAGGAGCACCAAATCTGCACAGAAGGCAAGACTAGATGCAAAAGAAAATATTACTCAAAGTTTACATCAGAACATGCTTTCCCTGATCATAGCCAAAAGATAAACAAAGAGATGCTGCAGAGTTAATTGATCACCAGGAACAAACAAAGTGGCTCATCAATTGTCACTAATTTGGGAGAAAAAAAATTGGAAACCAAGAATTGCACTTCTCTTGCTATGGACCACAGCCCAAGAGTGACTATTTTTTCCAGAATTGGAAGGAATCTTTAAGGAGCATCACATATTTTATGCAAGGAGATAAGGAAGGAGATGAACTACCTAAAGCAAATATTTCATGTGATCATAAACCCATCTGTGGGGCAAAAAAATATATTTTTATGTTTGAGAGTGTAGCACTTACCTCCCATGTTTGTCAGCTTCTTAAACAAAGGAAGAGATGGTCTATCTGCAAAAATTTCGCTTTGATGAACAAGGCATTCTTTTACTGCATCATAGCCATTCAGTACAATAGCAGATATACCTCCAAGATCAAGACTGAAGATCTTTTGGCGGGAAAATAAATAAATAATAAAAATTGTAAAATGTTACAACAAGTAAATCTCAACATCAGATAATGAAAAGTAGTAACGAAAAGGTGGAACAACACTAAACATCAGTGCAAAATACAGACTCGAATAAACTTCAGTATGCCATGCAGATATAACTAGAGGTTCCACCAGTAATCTCACTGTGGCATCACAGAGAGATGAGATAATTTTTGTGAGATAATTTGTCAAGTCTGTCAAAAGATACAGTAGATTAGCCCGCGCTATGTTCTGCGCTCTGCAATGCAACTGCAGTGACCAGCTCTCCAAAGTAAGGAATGGGAATGCTTTCATATAGTTGCTTTAAAAAAAAAAAAAAAAAAAAGAATTTGTTACCACAATGCACATATATCAGAAAAATGTATTTTCTCCCTAACATTAATAGATATGCCATATACGTTTTTTTTTTTAATAGAAGAACTGGAAATCAAATACTTTAATTGTCCTCTTTTCTGATTTGCTGGGACCATCTCCACAGGAGGAAGGAAAGTTTTCACTGCCATGTCTGTTCTTCCTCCTTTCCTTTGAAAAGGTAAATTCCAATAGCTTCCTTTGGTTAAGGGCAGCATGACTGAAGCTACACGTTCGTATCATGAAGACTTCCAAAATGTCATGTATTAATGGCAGACACAGAAGTGGTGTCAGTCGTGAAAACAAGCTCCATCCAGTCCCTTTGATCTCTGAAACTGGACAGAATCACCAGAAGAGATATGAGAGCCGTGGTGACAGCCAGAAAATGCTAGCATAGCCCCGCTAGTCCTGTCTCCCGTTTCCAGAAGTGATCAGCATTAGTGCCTTTGGAGGAAGATGCACTAAAACTTGCAGAAGGCACATACAGGATAAACAAAATGAAAATCTCCTCCCAAGTTGTAAAAATTAAAAATTAGCCGAAGCTAATCTGAAGATTGAAATTCTATATCCCTTTTCATACGTTTTTTAACATCATAACAGTAATATTTTTACCTATACAAATCTACAATTTTTCCTTAATCTCAGAGCTGTTGACCTCCACTATATGAAAAAGTAAAAACTTTTAGTCTAATTATGCAGGCTGTGAAAAATATTTCCTTTTAGCAAGTGTGAGTTTTTTTCCACAATTATCGTTGTTCTCCTTTTTCATGTGGCAAGAAAAAACTCCTGATGTTTCTCCAGACCACTTGTGACTTTTGTATACTTTGATCATAATCTTTCTTCTGATGTTATACAATATCATTTTAAAAAATCTCTTGGTTGTATTCTTCCAGAGCCCCCGCTATCCAGATGGACCTTCTTGGAGCTCCCTGAAGCTCTGCAGGATCCGTTCTGACAGGAGACGGACAGGACTGCTCACAGCATTCCAGGCAAGTAGCATTCGATGATATATTTTCCATCTTATTTCCATACTCTTCATCCTAATATTTCACTTGAAACACTTTTTACTTTTTTCTGTCGCTAAAAGGAAAGGAATTAAAAGATAATCCTATCCTTCCCCCCCCCCCATTTAGCATGATTTTAACTCGTACACTTTGCTTCCCACTCATGACAAGACTAAGATTACTCTCTTGTAGCTTGCGTAAGTGATCGGGACAAAACTTTTTGAAAGATTTATGTCCTATCAACACTTTTATTTGCTTGTTAAGTGTCAGATTTAAATGACCCTGACAGTTTGAAAGACCCGCTTTTCTTGACAAACCACTGTTTCTGGACACAGAGCTCGCTCACTCCTGGCGCCCCAACGATAATCTTTCTGAAACGCTGCGGGTGCTACGAACAGTCCGGAGCCGTACAGATGGGCCAGCTGCTGCCCAAAAGCGTGGGGACAGGTACGCGCTTACAAGGCTGAAAACGGCCTGCCCTTCTCCTGCCGGGAGCTCCCGTTTGGGTTCAGCTTTCCTGAAACGTGCAAGGACCTGTCTGTGGCTTGAGGCGGAGGGAGGGATGGGGGAGATATTGGGGGAAGGTTCACAGCATAACCGCTTTAAGTCTTTTCTCCACCCGAGCCCAAAAGTAAGTGTAAGAAAAGAAAGTAGGAAATGGGAAAAAACTGCAACCATCCTTCTCCGAGAGAGCTACCGCTGCACCGGGCACGACCCTTCCCCGCATCCCGCCGCATCGCCCAGGCGCCCCTGCCCTTTGCTCCTCGCTCGCCTGCCCTCCCCAGACCTCGGCGCCCCAAGCAGCG